AGCCTGAACCTTCATAAGTGAGTAATTAAAAGTGTAGATTCTGTTTATTATGTCTATAATTCATGATATATGGTATTTGATGCCGAATAATTTCTCCGAGGTGACTGTGCTGAGCATTTGTTGACATAATTATAGGTGACTGTCAGCTGAGAAATTACGTTTTGTAATTCTATATAACAAAAGTTGCTGATTAATAGTTGTCTTCATACTTCTTACATGTACAATTTGTAGAATTATCTTGGGGTTGAAATTCTTGCTGGATACAAGCCAATTCAATCTTGTTAACATTCACTACATACTGCCTCACTATACATGTACATCATTTACACAAACTCACCACTGAAACTAAACAAATAGAAAATATAGAAAAAAATTAGCTGTGAAGCCCAATTTATCTACATATTAATGTGATATAATAAACTCGGATCTTCAAACTACATGAATTTTATTGAGTAATATAAACAAAAATCAATGTTCACATACCACCTGAGAGGACTTCCATGAGGTCTCGATGTTCCTCACCGCCTCCACGAGATCCTTGTCGTCAGGCTCTGAGCTGGGGGGGGGGGAGTGGGGGCAGTCTCAGCTGGCATACTTACCTTCGCCGCCTCCGCATTCTGCCTATCCTTGTCCACGGTGACCTTCTTTACCAACATCTGGTGCGGAACCTCGGAAAAGGACCTCACGTACTGAAGGAGCCGGAACTTGTTGGGTGCCTGCGTCTCCTTGTCGTGGGCTTCCACCAGTGCCGCAATACCAGTCGCATACCCGAGGTCATTCTCCAACACCCACTTGAAGGTCTGGCCCAGGTACTTCCCGAACTGTAAGATGTGCATTGCAAGCACGTTATTAGGGACTCTTACAGCTACGGGACCTCCGAGGACCTTGACCCTCTCGCGAGTGTTGTTGGCCATAGATAGACCGTCGAGGGCTGGCCTCATTGGCGGTGGTACGTAGGCACTGGGTGCGATCATGTGTTTCACTGGTTTTAAGCTCTACTGGTCAGAGACCAGAAGAGCTTAATAATGCGTCCGTCGGTCTCTCTGTAAACAATTTTTCAAAATGCTACTCATCCTACAGTTTTGGTCTGATTTCAATAAAACTTGGCACACAAGTAGACTACACTACTTTTGAAATGTATGTACAAACCGATATGATGATTTTCAGCATTTCCATGGCTAATCATAGCAGATCCCAAACAAATTTTGAAATGTATGTACAAAATAATTGTCCAATGGGTAATTTTCAGTATTTCCAGGACTAATTATAGCAGATCACAAACAAATGAAATCTATGTACTAAACGATTAGATGAATGTCAGTATTTACAATTAAAGAATATTTTCAGGAACTCTGATTTGTTGCCTTAATTATTTTTTTTTTTAAAAAGAAGAAACAGATTTGAATTACAATTAAGTAAAGATCAAGAATTGTACAGTTCTTTTAAGTGTCATGGCCCAACAAAATCAAAAGATAAACAGAACAATGTTGCTTAATCATGCTTAAAAAAAAAACCCATCACATCAAAACATCAAAGGGATGGATTATGTCCTCTTCTCAAAACATCAAAGGGATGGATTATGTCCTCTTCTCAAAACATCATAGGGGTGGAAGAACATCCTCTTCACCGTCACTTTCAATCTGATTTTCTTCTTGACTGAAGATTGTGGTACCTGTTCAATTTTGTATATCTGTATTTTTTTTTCTTTGGCTTATAAAATCATAAAATAATTTGGGATTCAAAACTAAATGTACATAGTATGAAAGGTTAATGATTGTCTTATTGAAATCATTTACTGACCTTGAACAACTCTGTGTTTCAGGATTTCTATATCAAAATTAAACTGACGCTTGTCAAGTTTTGTCACTGGAGTTTTCCCAAGACTCAGAAAGCCTATTATTAACAAGACATATAGGATCTTCAATGGTTTGTAGTGGGATATGATTTTTATATCAAACAAGCCTTGGCAATGGGATAAAAACACACAAGTTGAATAAAAATCATATCTAACTACAAATCATGTGAGATTCTTTTTATCCCATGTTTTTTACACCACAAACACTGTTTAACACTGTTTTTATATAGGACTCCACCTCATTTTACTTCATCACTCTATAACGCAAAACCAAAGGTGATGTCACAACTGTGTGATACAAAAACAATATCACATAAGCTATATCAACGGGATAAAGGGTTAAACATGGGATAAATATGATATATTGTATACCTTGATATATTTTAAGATACAGTTAATTTTAAGTGGTAATATAAGTAATGTATTAAATTACTTTGAATGTTTGTCTTTTCTAAAAGGATGTGAAATCATTAAGGTTATGTTATCAAGTTTTGAAAGGACAATGAAATGGAAAAAAAAACCTTTCATGTCCCTGCTAGGTTGTATTGTAAATGGCTTTGTATTTCTTAGAATCTGTAGGATTTTCTCCTTGTCTTCAGCAGATACTGTCTTTGTGTGCCTGGAAGACTTTGGCTTGATGTGTAGCGCCGTGTCGATCTGTCTACACACACTGTCGACAACAACCCCAGCAGACGCGGAACGGAGTATCGCTTTTTCAGTCTTGTTTGCTCCCAGTTGTCGAATGAGTGTTTTTTGAGCTCGCACAGAATGTTCCTGGACCAGGTCAGCTTCCACATTTCCTCTCTCTCCCCCTTTAGTGTTGACGAAACAAGATTCCAGTACCCTTATCTTCATAAATGGAGATAAGGTGTACTGGACCTTGTAGATAAAGTCCATACATTCATACAGGTATTTGCTCTGCCGTGATGAAATGTATAAAAAAGGGATGCAGGCTTTCAGGTTTGGAATCACCTGGTCTATATTTCCGGTTTTGGCTGTTTCATCCAGAGCCATGATGAGCAGATACCAGTGACATAGGTTCAGGCAATACGAGAACACTTTATCATTTGTCTCCTGGTGATCCAAGTTAAACTGTAGAAAGCTAAATGATAAACAATTAATAATTATTTACTTTCTTTTAGAGAATACTGTCACTATTGACAATAGGTCAATAATTTATATACTGCCAGGATGGCTTATATGAAATTATTTGAGCATTGATTTGTGAATTCTGGCTGTTTGTCCATGTCATAAATTGTTTTCACATTTGTATAATAATTAAAACTTTACCTTTTGAACTTACCTATCCATAGTATGATGTTTTGAATGTGGAAGCTTCACACACACTTTAACAGTGTATTACACGTAAAGTCTAAATTGTGTATAATGATAACACTGTTACTTGGTGCAGGAACTACTAGTATACAGTTAGTGCATAAGTTTCTCAATTAGTGCAGGGATTAGACAATTAAAGTACATGGATTAAACAGTGAGGGCAGAAATTGTGCAATCAATAATTATACAATAAGTGCAGGAATTACAGTTAGTGCAGAGATTGCGCAATTAGTGCAGTGAATAAGTCATCGGTTTAAATGTGATATACAGAGGGTATCAGTTCTAGTACTGACAAAAGACTTTATGATGTAAAAATATTATTTCATGAACTTACTCATAATGGCACAGAAAACCATCAAGAGCATTTCCAATTGCATACCTTTTCTCCTCCTTCGTTAGATTTTACAATCTTCTATATTTGCAGTTGGAATGCCATTGGTGTGAATGACAAAAAGCTCTCTGACCAAATCCAGGATCATCACTTCCCCCACCAATGAAAAAAAAAATTCAAAATTGGACTGAAATTTTCCCTTTACTTTTCCCGTTATATCCGATCTTAGCAGTTTGCATTTGAGAAATGTCAATGAGGCAGGAACCCTGCAATTTTTTCGGAAATAGTGCTTGGAAAGCTTTCTGTAAAAGTAATTATTGAAATTAAATGTTCAACAGATTCATATACATTTATATTCTAATATCTTATAAGAAATCTTAAGTAATTATCTTCAGCCTGTAATTATCTTTGGCCTCCAATATTGTTTCCATTTAAAGTCTATTATTATCATTTTCAATTTTTTCCCTACCAAGTGGTCCTATAGGAGTTTCCCAGAAGGAAGACCGGATCAACAAATATATTTTAATAGCACATTAAACTGATATGAATTTACGTTAAAATGATAATGACATGAACACATTAATTTAAAACTTTTATAGTATTATCTGTCATATGTACATAAACATGAATAATGACTCTTACCGATGCCTCTGCGTCTTTCAATTTCTCGACGGTCTTTGGCCCGACAATACCGTCAGTCAGGGATGCTGGTGTCATTAAATGTCCTCCCCTTAAGGCAAATAAAATTTTCGGGGACGAAAAACAAAAAAAAACCACTTCACATTTTTTTAACGTTCCTGTTGAATCCATTTTTCGAGCTAAACGTCATCTGACCTCACATAACCTGCGTGTCATGGGATCAAGGGGTTATATCATGTGGCCTGTGGCAGTGATGATATGGAGTTGTATTGAACGTAATATTGAGCTGTCTGGAGCCTGCTTCAAAAGTCCAGGCTTATATCGAGTAAAAAAGATTAAGGTCCATTTTGGAATTGATTTCAGAATATCTCGAGAAGTGTACGGATTTACGGAATGAACTTTGTTAATGCGAATATCGGAAATTGTTTATATGTGAATAAATATAGATAGTAAAATTGTAAAGCATTTGATTTCAAAGAATTTTATTGGCGAAAGTGGGTACCCTATGAAAAGAGTTCCATACCTTTACTTATTTTCTTAACACCTCAATTTTTTCCAGCGGTCCTGTGGTTTATATGGTGTCATTCGAAGAATCGCTGTCTCCTCGTCCGACAGTGCAATTTGAACCGGCAACGTAGGGATCAACTCCTTACTTTGCGACTCTAGAGCAGACGCTCTAACCACGCGGGCGACACTGTCAATGTTTGAATTTTATAAATACTTGGCAGCATGTATTTTAAGAGTTTGAAATAATTTGCACCATTTTATTACCTTGAAACTTTAAATTGTAGGAAATCAATGAAACAGAAGCTAGGGACAGGCGTTTAATGCAGTAGCACCATGAATTTAGCTTATACACCCACAGTTATTGCTGTTTGCAACCTACACACTCAGTCAGACTCTCAGGATATGAACAACAACAGCACCTTCGTACCTGATGAGACATTGAAATTCGATGACATTGACATAAAAACCTTTAATGATAAAGGTATATACATGTAAAAGGCAAGAAATATCTGTAATGTAAAACACATATATGTACAATATTTCCATTTTTTTCAGCAGGAAAAGAAGTAATATCTCTCTCAATTTTTTTTTTTTTTGTTTTCAAACAAAATTTATAGGTGTACAATGTGACCCTGATCCCCTACTGGAGGAGAACCTTGCCCTGAGGAAAGAGTTAGAGGATCTCAAGAGAGAACGTGACCGACACAAATGGAGTGCAGAGAAAATTGCCAATGATGATGGAAAGACCAAGTATTACACTGGGCTACCTTCCTATGCAGTGTTCATCTGGCTTTTCAAGTATGTATGATGGAATTTCAAAAGCATTTGGGGAAAAAAGAATCATTTTAAGAAATACAATATTTGTTCTCCTCTTCTACAAATCCCACATCTGCATCACAATGAATTCTATTTAAATACTCTAACTCTGACAATAATAAATATTTTTATGATAGTTTCCTGAGACCTAAGGCAGAGAGAATGAGGTATTGGATTAGTTCCAACACAGACCAGGATTCAGACAGACAGAGAGTATGAACAGGCTCATTGGGATTGATCGACCAGTTATTTGCTGTACTCATCAGATTAAGACTCGGCCTCTTCACATCAGACTTAGCTTACAGATTTTGTATTTCAGAGAGTACTTTTTCGAAATACTTTTCTACCTGGATTTCTTTACTCTCTTGTGAACTTAAGTCTCTTAACCCATTTCCTACCCGAGATATTATCAATAGAACCATGCCATTATCTTTCAAAGCTAAGTATTCTTCTGTTCGAGTTATACTTGACTGTACAGAGCTTTTTATACAGAGGTCTTCAAATCTTGAAAATCAGAGTTTAACATATTCTAACTATAAACACTACACAACTGTGAAGTTTCTTGTTGGTATTACACCATCAGGTGTTATTTCTTTTGTTTCTGTAGACTGGCCAGGTAAGATATCAGACAGAGAATTGACAATGAATTCAGGTATCTTAGATTTATTAGATGAAAATGACAGTGTAATGGCTGACAAAGGCTTTACAATAAGAGATCTGTTGGAAAAAAAGGAATGTAAATTGAACATTCCCCCATTTAGAGGTGTTAGTCCACAGTTTTCACCAGATGAGGTATTTGAAACACAGGAGATAGCTTCTTTAAGAATTCATGTAGAGAGGAGCATAGGTAGAGTGAAAAATTTTCATATTTTAGATGGTGTTATGCCTCTAACCTTGAAACCACTTATCACCAAGATTTTTCAAGTCATTTGTTGGCATACAAATCTGGATGTTCCACTTGTTAGGTCTTTCCACCTTTCTGTGGAAAGACCTATTGGTATTCTTCTGTTTCTTATTAGGTCTTTCCACCTTTCTGAGGAAAGACCTATTGAAATTCTTCTGTTTATTAGGTCTTTCGTGTCCGTTATGTAAAATCTCTACAACTTACACAAATCTCATGAAAATTGAAGTTATATGCCTATGAAATACATGTATTATACACACACGAAAGAGGACAAAACAAGTCATTTTTTCACACTATAACACTATTTTTCATTATGAGTGGGTCTTCTCTCCATCTTTTTGAACGGTAATCCTCAAAGTTTGCATAAAAACATACATATTTTGGTTTCCAAAATTATGGAGCAATGACCCACTATACCTTCAAAATATAAGTTTGTGATATAACTTTCGTATCTTTTCGAAAAATACTTGAAGTCCCTTAAGTCAATAGTCATATCACAAACATGATTTAAATGCCATACTTCATCAGGACTTGTGTAGCGTAGTGGTTAGCGTGCTAGTTTCAATAATGTAACTCAGGATTTTTATTGCCAGGGTTCGAACCCAATGGATACCACATTAATTTTTTTTATATAAAAGAATAAATGTTAACGAAAAATTTTCCTCAAAACTTTTTGTTTCTCATGATTTCATAAAAATCAATGATGAGAACTTTACTCTAAGTACTAAATCCACAATTTGATTATGGTTTTTATATATCTGAAGCTTGTGGGTTTTTTGCACCCTAAGTTCACCCATTTCCTTTGTATTTTACAACTAAAATTTAGAATTAGAATTTAAAACTTTAAAATAAACCTCCAAAGATGGTAGAAACATCATTTTTGTTCGCTATTGCATTCTTTTTGCATGAATTTTGGCATTGAATCAGGGCAGGTCTGCACTTAAATACTTAATTGAGATATTTTGAAAGGCTTGTATGTAAGAAATAAATTTAGATAGGATATTTTAGGGGCACCCCTGCCTTAGGGTCAAAATTTACGAAAGAAAAAAGAAACGTCAAAAAATAATGAAAATTGATTTAGACAATCTGCTTCAAATTTATACCATTCTGTCCTTAAGTCAGAATAGCTCAGTTGATATGTGCGCTGAATTTTACATCGTGGTTAATTAGCTTTCTTTTTAAGGTCGGGGGTTCGAATCCACTCTTTTATGCTTTTAAATTTTTGTCTTTTTTAAAACTATTTTTATACGCTTGTTTATTTTCAATATTATCTATCCTTTTTGCTTGCCCATTCTCGATTTGAGAAACACGAAAGAGGGATAAATCATAAGAATCCAATATACAATAGTCAGCTAGGTGTAAATGACTTCAGTATTTAAGCACACCTTCTCCGAGGACAAGAATAACTCACTCTGTGTTGCTCGATACAGGTTTTCTGTCGTGCTACTATCGTGCATGTCAGGGTATGAGCTTAATTTATTTAGAATAAAATACATGTAGTTTTGTTCTTATTTAATGTTCCAGACCTTGCGTTTTGAAACAGTAGAGCTACGTATATCAGTTAATGCACTCACTTGGATTTCACCTATAATTTTCACACATTAATGTTATGATTTATTATATCCATGGAAATGTGTTTTTAAATAGACACTGCTTTTATGTACAGTGATATTTAAAGTAAAGAAAAATATCAATATTATTATTATATTTTGAGGTAACATTTAGAATATTAATGAAAGTGTTTCTCCTACCTAAAAATCAGTGAAGTAAAGCTTTTAAAAAGCAAATGGTTTCATGTGTTTTGAACGGAAATCGACTAGCTTCTTGTAGAGAAGAAACAAAGCCCTGCCCTACAGGTTAGATCTCTTTTTATACGGTATTAAAATCAACCTTTCATAGCTTAGAGATTAATGAAAGCTGATTCACTCTTGCAGGGAGATATTTATAGATAAAGATAAACTGATGGAGGCAGAATGTGTATGATTGAATGTAGTAAAAATTTAGTAGGGGATTAACAATCCTAAAGCTGTACCAATGACCTGTGGTCAACTGTTGCAAGTATAGATTAATATTTAACTTGAGTTAAAATGTTTTCTTTAATTTTTACTCATTTAACCAATTATCATAATACATTTATTTACATTAGAGCTAATAAGGTCTACTTCATAATTAACCGTGACTTGAATTTGCAGAAAAGACTTTCGGATGTGAGTCTATTCTCACTTTGCTAAATCGGATGAGATTTAAGAGCCTGAGCCCCGTATCGGTGCAGGCGTTGGAACGCTAAGGAATGACCTAATATCAGATAGAGGGATATATGGGTCTAGATTTAAAGCATTTCAGCGGTATACTAGGCTTAATTAGTATCATCTTGCTAGGGGCTTAAAAGTGAGTTGCTAAATCGCGGAACATAAAGCGGAAAACGAAAAAAAATGTTTTCAGGTTAAATTGCTTAAAAATATTAAAATTATAGTAGAAACGGTATACGTTATATATTCTATATCGTATTTAAGCCTTATTGCCCTTTTCCTCCCTTTTATACTTTCAAAATGAGCTACGTCCCTGAAGATGGTTTTTTCTTGAATTGACACATACGCTATTTTTATCTTAATTTCAGATTTACAGTAATAGTGCCTAATCGTCTCGTAATTTCGGATTACATGAATCAGATTTGATCTTCTGGCGTCTTGTATTATAGCCCATACCATAACACTTCCACTTCCAAATCTGTCTACTTTCTGGATGCAGTTAACAGCAAAGCGTTCATGTCGTCTGTGGACCTTTGCTCGACCAACTGCACGGTGCAAAAAGAACCTTAACTCAAATGGTTTTACGTTGTCTCAAAAAATATGCAGATTTCTTTGTCTTGATCAGTGTGAGAATGGAAATTTGCTATTTATTTTATCCTATTTATAATCAGAATTATTTGAAAAGGTACTTGTCCTCGTGCATTTTTTACTCTTTGCCAAAAAAATCCCATAATGGAAAACATAATGGATCATAAAAGAGGAGAATCAGACACTATAGGGCATACCATTTGTCAATCAATATCTAAAAAATAAGGTAAGTAAGAATTAAGCCTAATGATATAACAGCTTTAAAATATATAGGACATATTAAATTCAAAATAAACAAAACTCAAATAAAAACAAAGAATGACATCTATTTTGGGTCTCTTGAGTCACGCAGGTGACTAAATCAATAACTATAGTTATGATTGTGAATTCTGTGGCCCCTAGATCAACGGTTCTTGTGGATATATAGTATTTTGCATAAATTCCTATCATACCTAGCTATGATGAGAAAGGATCCTTCTAGAATTGTGAATTTCAAGGCCCCTGGGTCAGGGGTCAGGGGTGCCATAGAGAGGGACTCTGCTTATATACCGAAAAACATTTTTAATGCAAGAGTGGCTTTTCAAAAATTGTGAAATATGTGGACCTAGGGTCAGGGGTTCATGTGTTGTAGGGGCACTACTGATTATTGCTGAATTTTACTAATTAAATGAAATGCAGTTTTGATACCCTGCTGAATACGGCCAGGGCATATAGTGTTTGTCATTTCCGTCGTCCGTCCTTCTGTCATCCCGTCTGTCCTTCTGTCACAGTTTGCCCTTAGCTCAGTTCAAAACTCAGTTTCAAAGAAATTTTCTAACATATTTTCATCGAACTTCATATGCTGATAGATATTGATGAGAGCTATGCAACTGCATCAACATTTTTTGACCTTGACCTTTCTTCTGACCTTCACTTCACTTTTCTTAAATTAGTGTCTAGCTCACATGTTGATACATACAGATGAGAGCTATGTAACTGCATCAATCTTTTGACCTTGACATTTCCTCTGACCTTGACCTCACTGTTCTTAAATAAGTGTTTAGCTTAGTTTTAGACATACCGTTCAAGATGGTGTTATCAAACTTCACATGTTGATGCATACCGTTGAGAGCTATGCAACTGCATCAAAATTTTTTGACTTCTACCTCACCTTTGACCTTGACCTCACTTTTCTCAAATAAGTGTTTTTCTGGGTTTTAAAGATACCATTCAAGATAAGGTTATCAAACTTCATATGCTGATACATACTGAATAGAGCTATTCAACTGCATCAACATTTTTTGACCTCAATCTTTCCGTTGACTTTGACCACACTTTTAATCCATAGTTTAATTAGTGTTACATGTAAGCTCGGTTTTTAAGAAACCATCCAAGATATTTTTTAAAAACTGTATTAGCTGATATATACTGATGAGCGCTATTCAACTGCATCAACATTTTGACTTTTCCTTCGACCTTTGACCTCACTTTTCCTAAAT